ATCATCATCATTATTATTATTATTATTATTATTATTATTATTATTGTTGTTATTATTATTTCCCCTTCCTTTTCTGTCCTATTAAACTGTGTTTATCTGAACCCACAAATTTTACTTTTTTTTTCCCCCCCAATTCTCTCCCCCATCCCACTGGGGGGGTGTGGGGTGGGGTGGGTGAGTGATCAGCTGCATGGTGTTTAGCTGCTTGCCAGGTTAAACAGCAACACAAGGGCACCTGCGAGAGCTTGCGAGCTGGATACCAATTCTCTTCCGTGGTGCTGGCCACCCCCATGGCACAGCCTGGCAGGAGGGAGAGCGGCAGCTGGAGCGCTCTTGGCACTAGCCAGTGCTACCCCACCCCAGGCAGGGCTTTAGAGCAAAACAACTGGTGCTGAGGGGGTGGTGCCCACCACTGGAGCATTTTGAGGGCTTTCCTTTGACAGCAACTTGGCCCTGTGGACTGGTTGCCCATGGCTTGCTGGAAAAAAAAATCCTCTGGTGTGATGGCATGTGAAAGGAGTGATGCTGTCCAAAAGGAATGATGGTGCACTCCAAGCCTGCCCTGTGATGAGGAGCAAGGCATTGCAAAGGGCAATGAGTAGAAAATTTGCTTCAAAGGTGTACTTCTGACCCGAACTGTAATGCTCTTACAAATACACCCATCTGAGTGGCAATGCACTGCAGCAGTGGAGCCAAGGTACAGGGCTCATAAATCCCCTATTACATAGATATTCAAATTCTTCTTTGGGAGATGTAGAATACATCTACTACAGCCAGTGGGTTGTAGTAGACCTGGCCAATCAGACCTGGTGCCAGCCCTTAGAATCTGTTTTTCACAAGAAAAATCCTTCTCTGAAATACAAGTTCTTTTCTGTGTACAACTTGCAGTTCAAAACACATGTAAGGTCTCTTTAGCTGTGTGATTTGCAGTGTTGTTTTTGCAGTGTGATGGCCTAAAGCTATGAGAAAGGAAGATCCGTAACAAGAGGTAACAGCATTTATTAGACTAGACGGAAGTGGGAACGTTTCCAGGCACACAGGGTTTGGAGAAAAGCTTTTGTGCTTAAAACATTTAACAATTTTGTAAGCTGCAAAGACATTCAGATGAAAGCAAATATTAAATGACACTATTGGAACACGTTAGCTGGATATGGGAAGACTAGAATAAGTCCTGGAAAAAATCTAGCTTTTATTTTTGGAAAATAAACTTTCTTCTCCACTCCAGCTACTTCCCTCGTAGACAAAGTTTTGTCTAGAAACTACCTAACCAGCATCAAAAAATGTCTTGTATGTAACTGCTGGCATCTCTTAAAACAAACTTCATGACTGTTCAGCACGTGTTAGGCCCGAGTCTCCTGGATTTCTCAAAATCGAAACAGATTGTAACCGTGTTTGGTTTCCCTGCATCACGAGGTGGGAAGAACATGTTCTGTCTGGGCACAATGCTTGTGTCAAGAACCATTGCAAGGGGGTGCTTTATGCGTAAAGTTAACAGCATATTAACTGAGATATTTCATGTGATATGGAAAGAATCTCATTCTGTTCAAATAGGAAACATCGCCAGGATGAAACATCTGCTCCTTTTATGCATAGCTTTTGTTTCTAGACCCTTGCTAGAAAAGCAATATGCAGATGTGTTTTAAGAAAAGAAACCATGTGTCTTAAAATTAATTTTCAGTGTTCCTAACTGTTAAATTTATGTCTCCTTTCCTCCATGATTAGATTTGTTGGCTACCCGAATTCAAGCCTATGTTTTGGCCAGTGGATTACACTAGTTTAAGAACTGGTAAATCTCAGCTCTTAAACACGTGCTTAATTGGAAGCACACGCTCCAGTACTATGACTTCAGTTAAAGTAAACGAGTAAATCCTGGGCTGTCTGGCGGCTGTGGGGCTGATGTGGTGCATCACTGGACACTCTTATTTCTCACCAGCAGGCAGAGTATTTGCACAGTGCTGGCTGGTCTACAGTCTTGTGACCAAGACTGCCAGTGAGAAAAGGAAGGCTGTGCAGGGGCAGCAGAGGAAGCAAAGTCATCTCCACACTGCAAGCAAGTAACGGGGAAAAGCGTCAATGTTTTTGCCTATACTCTCAAACTGGGCAAAAGAGGAAGCAGCAGCCATGCCAGCTTCGTGCCTCTCACACCCTGGCGGTTTCATAAATCCAGCAGAGACCCTGGCTTGCAAACAGGCCCTGTCTCACTGGAGCTGACTTGCTGGCGTCATCTAACAGAGTAAGTCACACCAGACAAAGTGCCTGGCTGCTTTAGGATGAGAAAAGGTGTACTGGGTGAGCAAGCATTGTGCCACAAGGGTCCACCAAACAGATACAGAGCTGGCAGGAGTTTTAGGTTTACAATTTCATCAGATGAAAAATGGATGAAGTTCAGAAATGCTTTAGGAGGAAAAAAAATCCCAGCCAGTCTGTTTGGCTCTGTCCATCTATGCATCTTTTGCATTTACCATCTTTCAGGACAGTTCAGCTCCAATGCAGGCAGTGGTATTTCAGAAAAAGCTTACTGGTGGCATTTCCTTGCCACTGCCCTGCGGCTGGAGCAGAACAAGAGGAAGGATGAGGGAAGCCAGACAAGAGCCTCCTGGCAGCTCCTATCCAGACCTCCCAAAATGTCACTTGGAGGAGATGTGACAGCCTTACCCTCCTTACTCGTCACTTCCTGGGACTCTTTGAGGGAGCAGGTCATCTGGCCTCTAGAATGACCTTTGTACTTGCAACCAGCCCTACAACTCTGTGGGAACATGTTAATTTTTGGGATTCGTTATTTTCAAGCACTGATCTCCCAGACTACAAGATATTACCCCAATCCGCAGGCGGAGGTAATCAATAGAAAACTACTGACTATGCTCTCAGCATAGGATAAAAATGCAAACCATTGTGTTTCTGTAATATACCTTAATCCTGTTTTTCATAAAACTATTTCTACATGGAAGCAACTTATTTTTATGATGCAAACGATGACTTCTTTTTAGGCTAATTATTATAACCTGGTTCTACTGTTCTTAAAGAATCTAAATCTGCATATTCAGGGACA